ATAATATTACATGTATTTCAAAACTAACAAAATTCAGCTAATTAGCAATCCTATCTGAGAACTGACAGTTTGTGGTAGCATATATATACATACATGTAAACATGYAAAGCTGCCKGTTACATAGGAAGATGCTCACACGTGCATTACAAACTGTAATAGAAATATAAAAAKATAAATTATGATCTGAACATACCATGTAAGCCCGTTGCATCAGCCCCAAAGCAGCGATTTAATCAATATGCGATTCTTTCTCTATCTAGGCAAGACAAACTGGAAGCAAAAAAGCTGCTAGATTGTTAACAAATGTGTTAGAAGATTTAAAGGAAGAGCTCAAAAACCAGGAATTCTTTGGTGACTATTTTGCAAGGTCTGCTGATGAGAGAAAGCGTCTTTGCTGTTCAAAAGGCTGGTTTGATTGTCARGGGCAATACAATGTAGATGAGTGTACAAAGCTACACAGGATAAATCCTTATGGAAGCAAAGAAAGCAGAATATTGTTTAGTACCTGGAACCTAGATCATGTGTAAGGAATTTGTGTTTTTTATGTAAGAAATATAAATTTTGWCTCTGATCTCTCTCTCTCTCTCTTTCCTCTCTCTCTCCCCTCCAACATACACCACCACCAGTATATACTCATAAAAATGCCTTGTTCTGGCTTTCACATATTAATAAAAGTTAATGGCATCATCATTATTATRGACAGCACTGTCATCATCATCTTTGATCCAATGTCAAACACAACAGTTTTTCTTTTAACCTGTGTAACTGCCATCATAACGCCATAATCATCAACATCATCATCATTATCCCCACCATTACCACCATTACCACCATCACCACCATCATCATCATTACAGCGTTTCCAGCAATATAAGGACAAAACCACATTACCGTTTAATCCAGATTATTGTACTGAGATTGAGGATGGTGGCAGTTGAGGAGATGGGAGAGGATGGAATGAGAAAGAAGGTAGACTTGCTCTGAGAGGTCCAGAGCTAAACTTTTGATCTGAAGCTAATCAGTCCTCGCTTGCTAATCTGTTCCTTTCCTACTCCTAACTCCAATCTTAACCCTCCTCAAACCGTCCCACCCCACTCAAAAARAGAAAAATGTGTTTTATAAAAAGAGTTTAAAAAATCAATTTGGATGAATTTGCTTTCTCGGTTGGTTTAGTTTGTTGGACACTGGRATATTATGTGGAGGTTGGGGTTCAAGCCTCGGCAGAACCAACCCTCAGGGCCTCATAATATATGAGAAGAAGGTGTTGCCTTTGCTCTAAATTATTATCACTTATTCTAAAATTAAAATATTTTATAAACATAATTATTAATTATTGCTAATATTATTATATATTATTTTATAATCATCATTATTATATTATTAAATATTATCTTCATCATTATTATATAACAGTTATACGCTGAAGGCAGCGTTATTATATAACAGTTATACGCTGAAGGCAGCGAGATAAATATTCACCATAATCAATGAGCCTGAGGGGAATAATTGCTTTAGTATAATTTTAGA